ATGATCGGCTCTAACGAGTTACACTTAGTGGCGTCAAAGTTCCAAAATTGGCGTAACACTGTAACTTCGACGCACCGTATTCGAGATTTTCGAGCTAAGTCGACTAAAAGACAGTGGTTACAACTTGTAACAATGGTGTTCACCTCGTGGAAACAACAGAGTCAAGCCCACGCTCGTTGCCGAAAGTTACTGGTTAAAGTGGCACTGGGGAGCCATCTCCGCTTCCGTTTTATGTTATGGCAGCGGCTTACCGCACACCGTAAACGACTGGCAACTCTTCTCTTCGTAGCGTCAGAGTCACCCTCTACTTCACTTGAGACTACGGTTGAAAATGAGGACGGTATTACGGTTAGAAATGCGTTAAAGTGTGACTCGAATTCGGCTCTAAACGTCGTAACATTAGGGCAGGCGCTAGCTCAAAAAGCTCGCGTTATCCAGCGGTTTCAAGTGACTTGGGATCTGCCTCAAGCTTGGCATCGTTGGAGGCAGATTTTCCACGCTCAGCTCTTCTATCGGATGCGTCGACAGCAGTTTTTCTTTCACTTTTGGCAATATTTTACTTACCAAAAACGCAAGATTCGCGTCGTTCTTTTCAAGATGACGACGCAGCGGCAAGCAGCTTGTAGTCGTACAATTTTCCGTGCGTGGGCTGAGCTTGTGACGCGAGTTAAACAGCTGCAGAAAGACCGTCTACGTGAACGCGAGTTGTGGGTGCTAGTGACCACCGAGATGGCGAGACGAGAGCGACGACAACTTAAGAAACATTGGCATGCGTGGAGGTTCCATGTGGGCGAATCTCGGCATCTTTACAGCAGTTTGGACGTGTATTATCAAGCGCGTTTACTCACAAAGTTCTGGTTACTCTGGAGTCATGACTACCGTAAGGTAGTGAGTGAAACTCGACGAGAAACACAGCGAGTTGAGGTAGCTATGCGAATATTTTACTTACGACGTGCAGCTCGGAAACTAAAAGAGCTTCAAACGCGCTCGAAGCGAGCTCGATTAGTACTGGAATACTTTAGAAATCGACGGTATGATAGTTTACTTCCTGAAATGTTGGGCAGGTGGAGACGATGGAGTGAACGACAGAAGCGAGTGGCTTGGTGTCTTGAGGCAGCTCGTCGGAATAAATTACGACGGTATTTTATATTCTGGAACAGATGGAAAAATACGCGAAAATGGCAAAGTTTTGTGATTTCTAGCTGTCGATCTAAGAGTGCGAAGCTGCAACAACGTGACGTCTGGATTCGATGGAGAAGATATGTGAAGGAACGAGTGGCCAAGGACGTGGCCTTGCGGAGCGCAGCCATCTTGCACATGGGTACAAGATTGAAAAGATGGCTACATTACACTCAATGCTCGATTCAGTCCCGTGAACAAGCTCAGACTGCAATTACGCAGCTTTTTATCTACCGTGGACATCGAGCAGTGCGTCGTTGGCGAGAGTTTGGTCGGGTACGACGTATCGGTCGTCTGTATCAGCGTTTTGTACTGCGAAAACACATACAGCTGTGGCGTTTTGCAGTAAAGTGTAGTGTAGCCATACGCTTTGACGAGTTTCTACTGCGTTCCAAGGCGACGAAATGGCTCGTAGCTTGGCAGAAAGTTACAACGAAACATCAACACTGGCGGAAACTTTGTGAGTCTTTCAAGACAAGAAAAAAGAAGCAAAAAACTCACCAACTTTTCCGGCAATGGCAGCAATTGGTCAATAAAGAACAAGGTAAACGACTAGCGTTAATGCACGCTGAGCAGCGTTTACTACGTGTAGCTTTACGGTGCTGGAACCGCGCAACAGTAGCGAGTCAGCTACGACGAGATGAGCAATTGGAACAAGCTGCAGCGCATGAGATGGCTACACTGTTTCGTCAAAGTTTCGCAGTGTGGCAAGCTGCAGCGAAGAAACAGCGCGAACGTCGCTTTGTGCTGCTCTCGTGTGTTATTAAGCTGCAGTCGGTGGCGAATCACCACGTCCAGCAGATCATTTTCCAGTCGTGGGAGCGGGTCGTCGACTTAAGACGTCGCTGTGAAGTGGCGCTACTTAAGCGAGAGCGTAACATTGCCAGAAATCTATTGATCTCCTGGCTACGCTGGGCTCGTGAGCGACAGCAAAGACGGCAACAGCTCGAAAATGCCGTAATTTACCACTCGCAGCGTCTAAGAAGTGCCGTATTTTTCTACTGGCAGACGTACGCCTTGGCCTGGCAAGATGCTGCGAAGCCTATGGCTACACGACACAATCGCCAGATGGTTTTATTTGCTAAAAGCGCAGCAGAAGCACCTGATATCAGCGCAGAAAGCGAATCGGAAGATGAAGTACGACGACCTACAAGTCCAGTGATGAAGCGACTTCGACAGAAAAAGGCGAATCGGCTGAAAATATTGGAGATGTGGAGATGGTGACGCTGCCGGATGCAGTGGAGATCTCCATGGACGTAAAGCGGCGGCTGATTCTGCTGGGTAAGTGGAAGCCTCATGAGAAGTACAAATTACCGTCAGCAAGTTGAAGTGATCAACTTGGCTACATTTCTTCAACATGGCTACATTTCTCTGACAGGGCTACATTCCATAGTTGGCTACACGAAAAGTATCTTTTTTTTTACATCAAGCGTCGTCCATGCGCTCTGCAGTGCTAGTGACTGGCGTCTCGAGGGGTTTTGGACGCTGTTTAGCTCTAGACTTCACTCGCGAACTTGCCTGGATCTGGTACTAAATACTATTTTTATTTAAAAGTTTTCGGCTTTCTCATCAGTCAATTCGATAGTTTTTATGGGCTCGAGATGAAGATGGTCTGAAGGAGACTGCGCAACTGGTTCAAGACGCTCGAAATTCGCTACAACAAGCTGAAAACCTCCAGATCTTCATCCAAAGCGTGGACCTTAGCGAAAGTGTCGGCTATACCAAGAAAGTCGACAATGTTTTGGCCCAGTTGACCACAGATGGTCGGCACAGTACGATACTATTTTTCTCGTGCACAATGCCGGCGCTCTTGGAAGCTTAGGATTCGCTCAGGAGTGTCCTTTACCGAGTGAAATGGCTCGACACTTCGAGCTCAACGTGACGTCAGTCATGTGGCTCAACAAGCGCTTCCTTGATGTATTTGGGGCCTCAAGACATGAGATGACAAAGCAGCCAAGTTCGAATGATAGAGCGAAGTTGATTATCTTCAACGTGTCGTCGAGTCAGCTATTGCACCGTATTCGACGTTAAGTCAGTACTGTACTGCTAAAGCTGCGCGGAAGATGCACTTCCGAGTCCTTGCTACGGAACAAGCGGCTTGCAACAAAGTGCGAGTGTTCTCATACGCTCCTGGCGCCATGGACACGGAAATGCAGCAAAGTATGCGGGAATCGCCTCTATGGGCACCGGAATTGACACATTGGTTCGTGAAGATGAAGGAGGAAGGAACACTGATACCGATACAGCAATCGTCGCAGCGTGCGCTGTCAACGGAGACGTTGAGTCTGGGAAATATGTCTCCTTTGAACGAGCAAGGTATAATAATCTGCGACGTGTGATAATTTGAGACAAATATAAAAATATTAAAAGGAACTGTAAGTACACGGAAAGAGTTAATGTACTCGAGGTTATTTTCTTCTTCTACATTACGTGTGAGAGAAACCGACTGACTGGGTCCGTTCTTTACAAAAGCAGACCATCCCAATTTATTCCGTCATTTTAGAGATTCACCGCGTCGAGAAACATGGTGAGGATCTTTTGTGCGATTGTTGCTGAGGTAGGTTGCGTAAGGCGATCACGGCGAAAAATACCCACGGTACCCAATGCGATGCTAGTGAGCTTCAGCTCTTCCTGGCAAAGAAGAACAGCACGTGGGTAACGGAAAACGATATGGAAGACGGTGTGTGAGTGATACAAGCGGTATGATGAAGCTAAATGGTGCTGGAATGAAGCTTGGTGCTCAAAGACGTCCGACTGCCAATCGACGAGCTCCAAGTCGCGACTGGCCTTGGTCATGTAAAAGTATTGGTACGCCTTCCGAAAACTTACAGCATTCACTATCCCGAGACCGCAGAGTTGATGATGTACCAAAAAACGGCACGTAGACCTAAAGACTCTACCGAAGTGAGGGACGTGACTAGTGGAAATCCAAATAAAGTCCGAGCCTTCCGATGTCTTAGCGGTGCCGTTCGTCGTGCATTAGGACTCGTCAGGAACCTAGAAGACGCAATGGCGTTTAATCTCTTAATTTCCGATGTGTGTGTGACGTTTAGCCGGTAACGAAAAGATCAAGTATTTGGCAAAGATGACACGAGTATTTGGGCAAAGTAATTTCGAGAGATGAAACAAAACTCTGCGGGACAGAATTCGAGTTCGGACAAGTTATTTTGTTGCTGTGCTCCAATTTTAAACTTGTCAATGGCCAAGAAAATCTGATTGATGGACACTATGGGTGTCTAGATGAGCGAAGGGGTGCTGAAAGATGAAGCCGAATGGATATGTAATGGTCGCTCTCCACTGCCACGTGACGACTTGCTGCTGCACCTTACACTGATGGGTATGCTTACTAAAGATAAATCACGTGGGGCTGGACAAGTCCAGCATTCGGTACAACGCATGGCGACATTTTAACGGGCAATTTTCCTAGCAGAACACCAGACAAAAGTCCAACGATAGCATGACGTTAGAAGCTCTCGTGGCAGCCACAGTGGTCCTCGCTACCACTGCGGTGAAGTACACTCCCCTCGGCAGGTTTTTGTAAGAGCTTGGATTTGTAAAGGATATGACGTGGTGGTGGACCTCCCGAATCCGTTAAAGGAAGATATTGTGAGTCGAAACCATATACCGAGTGGCCAACGATTTCAATGAATACACGGATGCTGCGGACAACAACAAAAGGTGCAAAATCTGCAGCGACTATGATACTCGAGGAGGGGGGTTGTGGAGCATTGGAGGTCATTTTTTCATTCTACAAGAGTGGCTATTTTAACCGATTAAGAGGGTTTTACAAGAGCTACGGATTGTAGATAGGATAGTTGATTCTAGCGAGCTTGCTGAGTGTGAAGTACTACATCGTATTATTTCAGTTGCTTTTCACGTACAAGTACTGATGATTAGGCGATTTTAAATTAGCAAATGCAACTTGTATTTTTATTCAATACTTTGTAGTAGTTGACAGTAGAGGTACCGGTATCTGAAGTTTTCCGTCCACGTGAGACGCGTCATGCACATGTTAAGTCCCGTGAGCAGCTGTTTGAGGATTCGTACCTGTAGTTCCGCCTTACTCAGTGCAAGTCACCACAGGATGCTGTTGCGTTCATCCAATCTAGGGTTTACAGAAGTAGCACAATGCACAAACAGCAACTCAAACGAAATGGTGTGCACCACACCGTACCCCCTTCACTCTCATCTCCCAATCTGCATTTAGAGGCTGAGATTACACAATGCACGGCTCCGGACGTGTCCTGCTTCGTGCCGCCGCGCGTGCCAATGGCGCCGCGCGTCGCTCCCTCACATCAATCAGTAGCAGCGCTGGCGTTTTGGCTGCTCGCTCATCCAGTTCCAGCGCACTGAAGCTGCGCGGCGCCAGCGCTGTGTCTGTGCGTGCGCAGCGTCTGAACGCCGCGTCAGCCGTGCAGTTCCGCGGTTTCTCGAGCTCTGGCGATGCTACGGACGTGCCTGTTCCGTCTATGGGTGACTCAATCTCGGAGGGAACCGTTGTGGAGTGGCTCAAGCAACCAGGAGACGCTGTGGCCGAGGACGAGGTCGTTGTCGTGCTCGAGACGGACAAGGTGAGCGTGGACGTGCGCGCGCCCTTTGCCGGCGCCATGGGCCAGCAGCTGGCCGCCATCGATGACAACGTAACGGTAGGCTCGCCATTGTTCCAGATCGTCAAGGGCGCTGCGGGCGCCGAGAGCGCGCAGGAGACCAAGCCGGAGACCAAGACGGAAGCCGCGCCGGCTGCCGCAGCTCCGTCCGGCGAGGAGACTACCGTGCCTGTGCCGTCCATGGGTGACTCCATCTCGGAAGGAACCATCGTGGAGTGGATCAAGAAGTCCGGAGACTATGTGGCTGAGGACGAAGTCGTCGTCGTGCTCGAGACAGACAAGGTGAGCGTGGACGTCCGTGCTCCCAAGGCCGGCACCATCACCAAGACGCTGGCTGATGTAGACCAGACGGTGGAGATCGGCGTGCCGCTCTTCTCTATGGTGTTCGGTGGTGAGGCGCCCGCCTCTTCGCCCGTGCCGGAAGCTCCGGCTTCTACTCCCACGCCGGCACCGGCATCGACGCCGGCACCTGCCGCCACGCCCGAACCGGCTGCCGGCACTAACCCGCTACTAGCCACGCCTGAGCGCGCGTCTCGTCGCGAGAAGATGAGCCGCATGCGTCTGCGCACAGCCGAGCGCCTGAAAGAGTCGCAAAACACGGCGGCCAGCCTCACGACGTTCCAGGAGGTCGACATGTCTAAGCTTATGGGTCTACGTAAGCAATACAAGGACGCGTTCGAGGCCAAACACGGCGTTAAGCTGGGTTTCATGTCTGCTTTCGTTAAAGCCAGTGCGTCGGCACTACTTGAGGTGCCCGGCGTCAACGCTATGATCGACGACGAGCACCAGGAGATCGTTTACCGTGACTACGTTGACATGAGTGTTGCTGTGTCGACCCCTAAGGGTCTAGTGACGCCTGTGTTGAAGAACACCGAGTCTATGAGCTTCGCTGATGTGGAAAAGGGTCTGGCCGAGCTCGCGGCTCGCGCGCGTGACGGCAAACTGACGCTCGAGGAGATGACCGGCGGCAACTTTACCATCTCGAACGGCGGCGTCTTCGGCTCGCTTATGGGCACGCCGATCATTAACCTGCCGCAGTCCGGCATCCTCGGCATGCACGGCACCAAAATGCGACCGGTCGTGGTGGACGGAGAGGTCGTCGCGCGGCCCATGATGTACCTGGCGCTCACGTACGACCACCGCCTCATTGACGGCCGTGAGGGCGTCACGTGCCTTAAGGCCATTGCCGACAAGATCGAGAACCCGGAGCGTCTGTTGCTCGACATTTAAGTTGCAGGAGGAAGTGCAATTGGCCAAATTTGCAGAGAAAGAATAAAATGTGTTTTCTTTCAAGCAACTTAAGGATTTAAAAAATTACTTACGAAAGAAATCGTCGACGACGTGGGGAATGCTCGGGTATCCTGTACACCAACCTGGGAAATGCGCCTTGTGGGCTTGAGCTTTCGTGATGAAGACGTTGCAGAAGGCAGCGAGTAGTTTTTTGCGTGTTTGCACACCTGTAGCTAGTTTGATCAACGCGCGCGGCTGGGACATTGAGTGGATGATGAAGCTCATAAATTCGCTGCAATATTGACACCTGTATCCGTCTTCATGTTGCCGTTGTGCATACATCCAGACCTTGTAGCGAAGGTTGGCAAACTCGTTGAAGCGCCGTTCAAGCTGGTAATCTGGTTGATCGGAGACGACGGTAGACTTGATCGTTGGGATGTGCGAAGTTTTATGTGTTAGGAACACGTCGATGCGGTAGAACACGACGCCGTCGCGCTCTACCGTGTCGTTGATCTCAATGTGGTCGATTGTGTCTAGGAATGACGGCGATAAGAGCTCGGAACACCGCGTTGGGAAGATTTCCAGTTTCTGAAGTTGCTGCAGTGATGGCGTGGCGGTTGTGACGTTATACTTGGTGCACATGTTTGATACGTGGCGAATATGATAATGGCTCGATAGCTTCGGCCCTCAAGTCCAAGGGCATTCACTTTTGTGGTGCATGGACACCTGTCACAGATCGACTTGTCTTTTACCAAACGTCCCTTACAGGTGCATGTACCGTGCGTCATATCAAGTTTTCGTCATGGCGAGAGTCAGAAAGTCACTGAGGCTTGAGAGCACAAAGTATGAATTCTTGCCACCATGCCATTTTTCTCAAACTCAGACAAGTCGTGGCATCTGTCTAGCCTCTGCGATAGAAGTATGTTCGACAAGTTGTGTCCCTGGCTCAGCCTTGGGTATCTTTCGATGACGAAGAGTGTGAATCACACTGCTTGGACGACGCCGTGCAGAGACCGTGGGCTTACCGTGTACGACCACGGGATTGTTCCGATGATCTCACTGACTCTGTGAGACAAGGCTTGCCACGTCTTCGCGTGGACTTGGTGCGAACCGGGAACATCCTACAACTGAGCGTGCCAAACTTTCGAGCAAAACAGACGAGCTCATAAGAGGCGACACGGCTTGCTGTCTTACCTCCGACACACAAATACCCTGTCTACTTTCATTCTTCATTTGGCCGTGTGCCTCCCTCTATCTAATCTCCAACACAGCCATGTCTGACACCGCAGTATTGGTATTTCGCGTCCTCGCCGGTATGGCGACAATCTGCATGGTCTCCAGTCCATCGCTGCTCATGTACCGCATCCATCAACAGAAACACGTCGGTGTCGCATCTGTCACACCCCTTGCGGCACTTCTAGCAAATTCCCACGTCTGGTACGCACACATCCCCTTGAACTTCACCAACTTGTCAATATTTTTTACAAACCTTTCACCTGCAGGATGATGTACGGCTATATTGAGGGTATGTGGTTCCCCGTCTTCGCGTGTTTCCTATATGGCGAGTGCTGCGCCGTCGTGTTCCTCTGTATCTACACTTACTACTGCTCGGACAAACGCTACGTGGCTCGAACTTTCGCTGTCTTCCTCTCCGCTCTCATTCTCATCACAATCTACGCCGTCGTCGGCGGTCAAGGCTACACTGGTCAGTCAATTAGGAGCGTCGGCACGGTCGTAGGCATCCTCGCGGACTTTGCAGGCATGTGTCTCTACGGAGCGCCAATGGAAAAATTGTTCCAGGTGCTAAAGCACAAGACGGCTGTCTTTATCAACGTGCACATGGTCATCGCTGGACTAGCGAACAGCTCAATTTGGCTCGTATACGGCGTCCTGATCACTAATTGGTTCATTATCTTCATCAACGTTTTGTTCGTCTCGGCAAATACGTTCACGCTGTGTTTGTACCGAGTCTACGACCCACGTACACATCCGCTTCGCGATGGGTGGGACACGCACAGCGTCGGCCAGGGCGAGATCTCCGTCTGCATCGAGCTTACACCTCGTGTGGACGCTAAGAAATCGGTCACGAACCTGCCTAGCCCCGAGTACTCGTACATGGCATCTCCCAAGCATGAGGGGAACCAGTCACAAAAACATCTGTTCTGAAGTGTCCATTTGCGAACTTAATCAATTTGCACATAAAACACACATTTTCGGTGGTCGTTGCTGTTTGTGCTCAAATTATCACACGTCGCAGATTCTTGGCGCTTTGCCGTGAAAAAATATATCTTATTTTTACTTAATTTGGGCTGTCCAGTAGCAGTACAAGTGCACCCTCTTTCGTAAGTACAGCAATCAAACCAGCGCATTTATGGTTTCAATTGCAAAGTGCGCTCGATTCAAGCTTCATCTTTACTCTCTACAGTAAAACGTGGGTTGACTTTTTTACTGACCGTACTGGGAGATCATTCGACGTTGGGGCGACCGTCACTTTAAGGAATTAGGAATGGGATTTCCTGTCAGCTACGTTGGTGTCAACGCCATGCTAAATGAAAAGGTGCTGAATACTGCTCTCCAAAGCAAGAAGAGCTTGCAAAAATTTAGCCAGACGACGTCAGCAGTACTGTCATCAAACAGTTGCTCGACGATATGGGCCACGTCTTACGTAGAATGTTTTACTGGCCGGTTCCGCCCTGACCGGACCTTATACCCGAATGTTTTTCCAGATAAAATCATCATGTCAGTGCAAACATCTGATCATTATATGGTGTGTTAATCGTATACAAGAAGCTACCAGTTCAAAAGTACCACCATGCAGTTTAAGCTCATCGTTGCTCTGTAGAAACGTACCATTAGTCATCCGCTGAGCTGCTCTCTTTGTCAGCCTCTTGATCTCCATCCCAGGCCAATGAGTTGTCGTACACATTAGCAGCCTCTATGATCCTCTGCTCTGAGTCTTTTGGGGTGGTCACTGCATCTATAAGCTCCTCAGCAGTAGCATCACCCATAGGCTCCTCGTCCGACGATGTAAATCCACCCAGGCCCAGGTTGTCATCAATTTCACCACAGAGTGACTCAAGGGAAACATCAGACTCTTCAAAACCGGCATTGCTGCTGTCCGACTCAGGTGGCACTTCAAACTCAGTCAAGCCAGGTACCCGCGGAAGTGCTATGATTTGTAGCCGCTGTTTCTTCCGGCGTAGTCCTCGAGTGATGCTGACCTGCTTCCTGACGTAGACACTTGACAATCGGCCTATCGCTGAAGCAAACTGACGCAGATTGGGATGGGGATTGAAAGCTGCAATCATTTGTGGTTAAACCTCTCCAAGAGGTTGTTAGTGTGAGCAATTACCGAGCTCGCGATGCCATAAACATTCCACTCCGTGATAAAATACCGTTCTAGCCAGGTTTTTCGAAAGTACAGCCAGAATTTACGCCATTCTTGGGTGGAGTACACGCATCATTTGTCGGCACACTTTCGTTTAATCTCTTGTTTAACCCATCAAATACCCTTTGGGTCGATGAGGTCAGGATCGACAACAGCTAGGATGTCAAGTACGCCAGGCTATTAAAATCTTGTCTTCCATAAGACGTTCTTCCTTCATTCGTCTACGCATTGCCTACTTAAAGTTAACGAAGCATCCTACCACCTCGACGTTGGGGAATTGAGTTTAAACGGCCGAAATTAGGCTGAGCTCGAAATCACAGACAGTTTCAGCAGGAGACATCATTTTGCCGGTGTCGCGGTGTGTTAGGTGCAAGATGTCATCGTACATTGTCTCCGTCTTGAATGTACAGAGTACGAAATACACCGGAGTGTACATATTCCGAACCGGGTCATCCATCATAACGATCAGACATTGATTGAAGCCACTAGGAACACATCTAGAAGTACCGTCAATAAAAAGAGAAACACTGTTGTAAAGTAGAAGCTCCTTTAGGGCAGGGCGAGCCCACCCCAGTATACGGCTGGGTGGTACATTTGGTTCCGGGTGGGCAGTCACGAGATGGAAACGAAATAACGGGATCGCAAAGTCCTTAACCTTGGAGCACGGCGGCACCTCAACTACTCCATGAATGTCTCATCCGTAGTATCTGCGGCGAGCCCGACGGACGCGGCTATTAACTTGCTCCTCAGTCAACCCTTTGATAAGCACCTGACGGTTGGACCAATAGAACGCAGAGCAAATACGCTCCCAAATGGCTTCCTTAGGCATACCAGGATCCTCCGGTTCGAGACGATCGGTTATCTTCTTCAAAGCACCGGTCTCATTCTTTAACAACCCATTAACTATTACGTATTTACGGCAGTTGTGGTCCCCTACAACGCGCTATTCACCGTGGGGTGCTAGCTTTAGTACTCCGTTCAGCGTGACGTACGGTACGTACTACACCGGTACCCAATATGCTTTGTAGACGTCCACGACTTCTTTTATTTGAACCCTTGTAAATTTTGATTATTTTCGAGCCGCGCTTCTTCTTGACGCGCAAGACGGGTTGACTATGTGTAGAAGGCGGTTGGTTATTGCCCTCAGAGGTGGTCTGTCGATGGTGGTGATGCTGATGGACGCTTGAGGAGGTGAAGTGTGTAGGCGCTCGGCACCATGGTCTATACTAGCCCCCACTTTATGGCTAAGGACCCGCTTATTCTTACGTCGGTCCTGCGTATTCTGACGTGTCATACCTTGGGTGAGTGTAATGAATTCTGTCTGACAAGAAGTGGCTCACTCGCTTTCCTCGTACGGACACAAGATCCAACAGAAATTGCTCAGTGGTCTTCTTGTAGTTCCTAATAGAATCCGGTACATTTCTTCCGACTTTAGCCCGAAAATTGTATTGGTTCCGTTCGTAGATCAGAACATGCAAGACGACGCTAAAAACAAGCTCCGTTCATAAAATCCGGTCAGAGCGAAATCTCTTTTGGATACCAGCGAAGTTTATTTATCACTTCATCAACTTTGTTTGCGGGTGCTCTGGTCCATTTCTTGAAGAGTTTCCTACGTTTCACTCTGTCAACGAGCACCATGTTCAGCCAATTTAAGTTAAACAAATCATCAAACGTATTGACGTCGACTGACCCACGTTCTTCGTTGATATCGCTTTGTCAGTCACCTTCCCTTCGTTAGTCTCATGGCTACGTAGAACCCGTTTGAGGGCACTGGTTTTCTGAGTCGTTGAAATTGTCAGCACTTTAGTCGGTACAGAGGCAACAAGCGTATCGCAGCTTGCAAGGACGGCGACAGTCGCTAATATGATGTAGCACACCCACATAAAGAGGCTTGAACAGGAGACCAAATAAAACAGCTTGTACGCTGCTACGAGAATTGAAGAGTGAGGTCGGCAAAGCTGTATAGACTACTATGGACCCTCAGTCCCGGACACTAATAAGAAGGAGTTGCTTCCGTATATGTAATGGTACAGGAGAGTTGGTCGCGACACGCCAGGATTTCGGTATGGTACTAGTCAGTGCCATCGACCCGACCAATATACTACCATAGACATTGCTTACCAGGTACAGCCTGTACATGTACTTGGTAGTTATGTCTACATATCTGTAACGAATTTGTTGAATACGGATCATGCAGCAATACTGTACCAGCTTGACAGCGATCTAGCCATGCATTACGCATTAAGTGTCTACCCTATGAAGCATTAAAACGATAAACGGATTAAACTATTACGGGTACGTGCGTAATACAGTACCTTTGTAATAACGCAAGCAAAATGTTGAATGAGATAATCAGTCAATTGTAATAGCTGCTTAATTGAACCCAAAAAGTAATTATCAAAAGATTATATATTATACAAATTAAAGGGATTATGATCAGTCAAACGGAGCAGCGATCCTTGTTAGGTACTCTTTTTAGGTCATACTTTGCACAGGTCAACTCGTGCGCAACTATTTATTGCTAAATAGTGCAACTTGATCATATTTTGACCAAAAACGAGGTGGTTAAAATTAACTGTTAAGAAATGGTTTGTGAAACAATAAAGGATTCAGGTCGTCCGGTCCACCCTTCAGAGTGAATTTTCTATAGATCAGGCCGACTGAATGCATACGGGTGATAACGCCTCGTGCAATTTTAGTCGTCAAGACGCTTGAGCATATAGACGATACCAGCGGAGCTCGGTTAGTAATGCGTCTAGGTGCTCGATATGGAGGCCAGCGGCGGGGTTGAAGACACAAATATCGTATAAATACTCCACAACAATGCTCCATACTTAGTTCCCTAAGACATTGACGCCATCAACCGGGTCAACGTGCCGGTATTCCTGCAACGCCTTAGGAGCAGCCAACCGACCGTTTTCTTCCTGCGAAGTCCGGGACGATGTCAGTCGGCGCGACGACAAATACATTTACATCTGATGGTATTCGGACGCTAGATCGATTGTCGAAATAAATAGATGGAGCCCTGCATCTTGTCAAACAGATCGTCTATTCTCGAAAGGGGAAAGTTTTGACTACCTCCGTTTGCAAGTTGAGATGGCGGTAATCAATACCCAGCGGACCGGATCATCAAGATCACCGCTTCGAGCCATCCCCGCTTGTTTTAGCGCCCGCCCGTCTCGGGATTCTTCTTTGGCACTGCAAATATTTTAGACACCCACGGCGAGTTGCTTACCTGCACCAAATTCCGCTCTAGCATTAATCCACGAGCTGCTGGCGGGTTTCCTGTCCCACGGGATACATATAAAAGCGGGACGAGGGTGTGACCTAGCACTGGTCTGAGCGTAATTCCATGCTTAATTGCTCGTGCTGAAAACAACTGATTTGACAATCGCTCTGGAAAGACATTTGAAAACCGGGCGATCAACGGCTGCATGCGTTTGTCCGTCTGGTGCTGGCGCAGTGGTGACGTAAGGCTCGTCACGGGAAGATTGCTCTCTATGTGTCGATTACGTCTAAGAGTAGGTGTGGTTTAAAGGCAAATACACTTAAAGATCAACTTAAGATAAGTAATCAATGGAAATGTAAAAGCACGTATGTGCCGGGCAAAAGACCGCGGCAGGACCGCGGTGTCTGGTGAGGCTGCTCTCGCTGCTACTATAGTATGAACCGCAGACGCCAAAACGCAAAGTGAAGGGGGCAGCTTCCACCAGAACACCGCTTTTCCGCAAAAGGTAGATTTGTATACAAATCAAAAAATAGATCACTACTAAAGCCT